CTATCCCAGTACATACCGTCATCACTGTATGTCTATCCCAGTAGAACTGTCTATCCCAGTAGTGAACTGTCTATTCCCAGTAGGAACTGTTATCCCAGTAGCAACTGTCTATCCCAGCTAACTGTCTAACTGTCTAACTGTCTATCCCAGTAGCTAACTGTCTATCCCAGTAGTGAACTGTCTATCCCAGTAGCTAACTGTCTATCCCAGTAGTGAACTGTCTATCCCAGTACAACTGTATACCAGTAGCAACTGCTTCCCAGCTAACTGTCTAACCAGTCTAACTGTCTATCCCAGTAACTACTTCTATCCCAGTAGTGAACTTCTATCCCAGTAGCTAACTGTCTATCCCATTAACTGTCTATCCCAGCTAACTGTCTACCCAGTAGCTAACTGTCTATCCCAGTAGCTATGTCTATCCCATAGTGACTGCTATCCCAGTATAACTGTCTTTCCCAGTAGTGAACTGTCTATCCCAGTAGCTAACGTCTATCCCAGTAGTGAACTGTCTATCCCAGCAGAACTGTCCCTACGTTGTCAAACTGTCTATCCTAGTACTAACTGTCTATCCCAGTAGTGAACTGCTATCCCGTGAATTTCCCAGTAGTAACTGTCTATCCCAGTAGTGAACTGTCTATCCCATAGCTGAACGTCTACCCAGTAGTGAACTGCTATCCCAGTAGCTAACTGTCTATCCCGTATGAACTGTCTATCCCAGTAGTGAACTGTCTATCCCAGTAGCTAACTGTCTATCCCAGTAGTGAACTGTCTATCCCAGTAGTGAACTGTCTATCCCAGTACTAACTGTCTATCCCAGTAGTGAACTGTCTATCCCAGTAGTGAACTGTCTATCCCAGTTAACTGTCTATCCCAGTAGCTAACTGTCTATCCCAGTAGCTACTGTCTATCCCAGTAGTAACTGTCTATCCCAGTAGTAACTGTCTCCCAGCTAATCTATCCCAGTAGCTAACTGTCTATCCCAGTAGCTAACTGTCTATCCCAGTAGTGAACTGTCTATCCCAGTAGTGAACTGTCTATCCCAGTAGTGAACTGTCATCCCAGTAGTAACTGTCTATCCCAGTAGTAAACTGTCTACCCCCGAAAGTAATTTCTACCCCAAGTAGAAAAACTGTCTACCCAGTAGTAATTTTCTACCCCAGTGTAATGTCTTCCAGTGTGGAACTGTCTTTTTCCCCTTTAGCTAACTGTCTATCCAGGGGGAATGTCTTCCAGGTTAACTGTCTATCCCAGTAGCTAATGGTCAAATTCCCAGAAACTAACGGTCTTCCCAGTAGCTAACTGTCTATCCCAGTGGGAAAACTGTCACCCCCCAAGAAAAGTGAAACTGTTTTGCCCGGGAATGAACGGTCCTTTTCACCGGGCTAACTGTCTCCCCTAAAACCTGTAACTGTCACCCCGGAGTGAACTGCTATCCCAGTGGGGTTGACCTGTTTTTCCCCAACCCAAAATGTCAAAAACTTTTTAAATGTCTACCCCAGTATGTAACTGTCTATCCCATTTATTTGAACGGTCAAAATCCCAGAGTAACTGTTACCCCAGTAGGGGAACCCGTTTTTCCCCCAAAAAAAGTTACCCGGTCGATTCCCCAGAAAAACCCTAACTTCAAAATTCCCATTTTTTTAAAACTGTCAAACCCCCGTAGGGAACTGTCTACCCCCAGTAGTAAACTGTCTACCCCAGTAGGGGAAAACTGTCTATCCCAAGTAACTGTCTATCCCAGTGCAAAATTTTCTTCCCAGTAGCTAACTGTCATCCATAGTAACGTCTACCCCATAGTGAACTGTTTCCCCAGTAGTGAACTGCTACCCCAGTAGCTAACTGTCTTCCCATAGCTAACTGTTACCCCAGTAATTTTTGAACAAAGTCTTCCCATTAGAAATAAACGTCTTTCCCAATTAGTAAAACGTCATCCCAGTGGGAAAACTGCCCACCCCGTAGCTAACTGTTTTACCCCAAGTATAACTGTCTATCCCAGTAGCTAAATGCTTCCCAGTAGTTAACTGTCAAACCCCCAGGGGAACTGTCTACCCAGTGGGTAAACTGTTACCCCAGTAGGGGAAACTGTCATCCCAGTAGGAATGCTATCCCAGTGTAACTGCAAACCCCAGTATTTGAACTTCTTTCCCAGAAAGGTCTCTAAAATGTGAATTTGTCTATCCCAGTAGTGAACGGGTTCATCCCAGTAGCTAACTTTTATCCAGAAAGTAAAAATGTCTACCCCCGAAGCAAAAACGGGCACCCCAAAGTAGGAAGTTTTTCCCAGTAGGGAACTGTTTTACCCCAGTAGTAAGGGTCTTTCCCATTTCTAAATTACCCAAAAAATGTTTTAAAACTGTCTACCCAGGGAAACCTGTTATCCCGTAGTACGTCTACCCCAGAAGTAACTGTCTATCCCATTTAGTAACTGTCATCCCCGTGAGTAAACTTTCTACCCCCAGACTAACTTTTTCTATCCCGGGTAGTAAATTTGTCTATCCCAGTAGCTAACTGTCACCCAAGTAGTAAAACTGTCTATCCAGTAGTGAACTGTCTTCCCAATTTTTGCGAAAACGTCTATCCCAGTAGCAAAACTGTCTTTTCCCGGAGCAATGTTTTACCCCAGTGTAATGTCTACCCCATAGTAACTGTCTTTTCCCAAAGAGCAAAAAACGGGGTTTTTTACCCCAGTGGGTAAACTGTCTATCCCAGTAGTAAAATGTTTATCCCAGTAGCAATTATCCCAGTAGGTTTAAAGGGAATTTGGCCCTACCCCGTAGTAACTGTCATCCCAGTAGTGAACGTCTACCCCCGGGGGAACTGTCTACCCCAGTAGTTTAAAGTCATCCCAGTAGTAACTGTTTTCCCGGGCAAAATGTCTATCCAGTAGTGAATGTCTATCCCAGCCCCCCCCAACTGTCTTATCCCAGTAGTAACGTCTTTCCCAAAAATGAAAACTGCCCAAAATCCCCAGTAGGGAATTTTTACCCCAAGTAGTAACGGTTTTCCCCCGAAATTTTAAAAAATTTTTGTCTATCCAGTAAAAAATGTCTTCCCAGTAGCAAGGTCTATCCCAGGAAGCAAACCTGTAACCCAGTATTTAACTGTTTTTCCCAGATAATTTGTCTAAAACTGCAAACTGTCTTATCCCAGTAGTAACCCTTGTCTACCCCAAGTAGTAAAACTGTTACCCCAGAAAGGCTAACTGCCATCCAGTAGCAACCTTTTCTACCCCCAGTAGTAACTGTCTATCCCAGTGTGAACGTTACCCCAGTAGTAATTCTATCCATTTGGGTTTTTAAACTGTCTACCCAGTGGGGAACGGTTATCCAGAAGCTAACTGTTATCCCAGTAGGGGAAAACTTAGATCCCAAGTAGTAAACTGTTTTTCCAGTGGGTAACTGTCTTTTCCCAGTAGTAATTTTCTTTCCCAGAAAGAAAACTGTCTACCCCATTTAGCAATGTTATCCCGTAGCAAAACGGTTTTATCCCAGAGGGGAAAGGGGGCCCCCCCAAAATTTAGTGAAGGGTTATCCCAGTGGGCAACGTCTATCCCAGAGCAAAATGTCCCCCCGGGAGTGGAAATTTTAGGGGAAGGTTTTTCCCCAGTAGTGAACTGTCTATCCCAGTAAAAAACTGTCGATCCCAGTAGTAACTTTTTTTCCCCCTTTTTCCCCCAAAGTAGAAAAACGTCTATCCCAGTGGGCTAACTGTCTACCCCCAGTAGTGAAACTGTTTTTCCCAGATAACTGTCATCCAGTATAACTTGTTCCCAGTGGGAACTGCTTTCCCCAAGTAAACTGTCTATCCCAGTAGGAAAACTTTATCCCAGTGGGTTAAACTGTCTACCCCCATAGTAAGGGGGTCATCCCAGTAGGGGAACTGTCTTCCAGAAAGCAAAAGGTCAAATTTCCCCAGTAGTAAATGTCTATCCCAGTAGTAATGTTTTTCCCCAAGCTAACGTCAAAAACTGTCAATGTCTACCCCTAAATTTTGGGGACTTAAATTAAATGGTAACTGTCTTTAGGGGAAACGTATAGTGGAAGCCCCAGAATTTTAAAATTTCAAACCCGGGTTATGGTGTTTTGTCACCCCCAAAGTACAAATTCTTTTTGGTGGGTGCTGTCAAAAGGGAAAAAAGCAAGGAATGAAGTGCTAAATGTACCATATTGGGTCAAAATCGAATTCTTGTAAAAGTTTTCCCATTTGAACGGGTTCTATAAAGGGGGAGCCTCGACCCCGGCCCACCGCCCCGGGTGGGCAAGGGGGGCCCCCAAGGGGCGCCCGAGCGCCCCGGCCGTCCCCGGGGCACCCGGCAACGCACCTGCAAAAGGGGTTTCCCGGAAGAAGAGTAAAGACCCAAGAAAAAGAAAAAAATTTTTAAAGAGGAAAGCCCCCATAAAAATGAGGAGAAGCCCCCGGGACAAAACGCCCCCAGGGGAAATTTTAAATGAAAAAAGACAAAAAAGACCCGAGAAGGACGGGAAAAAGTGGAGACCCCAAAAAGCAAAGGAGGGTTTTTTTGGGAGAGAAAAGGGAGAAAAACCGGGGGAAAAGGGAGGAAAGAGAGAAGAAGAGAGCAGGGGAAAAGGGAAAAGGAGAAAGGCGGGGAAAGAAAAAGGAGGGGGGAGGAGAAGAAGGAAGAGGGGGGGCGAGAAAGAGAAAAGGGGGAAAAAAGAGAAAGAGAGAAAAACGGGAAGAAAGAGTAAAGAAAAAAGGGGGGGGGAAAAAGAGAGGGAGAGAGGGGCGAGAGAGAGAGGAGAGAAAGAGGGGAAAAAGAAAAGGGGGTAGAGAAGAAAAAAGGGAGAGGGAAAGGGGAAGAGAAAGAGAAAAGAGGGGAGGAGGGGGAGGAAAAGGAGAAAAAAAGGGAGAAAAGAAAAGAAGGGGGAGGGAGAAGGAAAAGAAGAAAAGGAGAAAGAAAAGGGGAAAAAAGGGAAGGGAGATAAACGAGAAGAAAGAGAAATGGGCAAAGGGCAAAAAGGAAAAAGGGAAAAAAGAGAAGAATGAGAGAAAAAAGGGGGAAAGAAAAAAGGGGAGAAAGAAAAAGCAAGAAAAGGGGAGAGGGGCAGAGAGAAGAGAAAAGAGGTAGAGAGAAAAAAGGAGAGAGAGAAAGGGGAAGAAAAAGAGAAAAGGGGAGAAAAAGAAAAAGAAAAACCCCAAAAAGGAGGAAAAGAAGGGGAGAAAAGAGAGAGAGGGGAGGAGAAAGGAAGAAAGAGAGAGAGAGCGAAAGGGGAGAGCGAGAGAAGGGAAGAGAAAGAGAAAAAGGGGAGAAAAAAGAAGGGGAGAGAGAGAGAGGGGAGAAAAGAGCGAGAGAGAGAAAGAGGGGGAAAATCAAAAATGGGAAGAGGAGAGAAGAGAAAAGGAGAAAGAGAGAAAAGGAGAGAGGAAAAGAAAAAGGCGAGAGAGAAAAAAAATGCAGGCGAGAGCCCCGCGCAAATTCCTCTATCTAAGATCGAAAAATAAGGGGGGAAAACCCTTTTTAAGGATATTCCTTTTTAAAATCTCAACCCCTCCCCCCCCTTCTCTCCCTCTCCCCTCTCTCCCTCCCCTCTCTCTCTCTCTCTCTCCGCCCTCGCTCACTCGCCCAGGATGGACAGTATAGTGGAGAGTCCTCAGATTGTGCGGAGGTTGTCGTGGGTAGAGAACTACTGGCCAGACGACGCTCTCCTGGGGAAACCTAAAGTCACTAAGTACTGTCTGATCTGTGTTAAAGACAGCTACACCGACTTCCACATCGAGTGTGGAGGGGCCTCCGTCTGGTACCACGTACTCAAGGTATAATAACCTTATTTATTCATTCACTTTATTTATCCAGGTAGGTTATTAAAGAACATATGTCTGTGCAGCCAGTGTGCAGCTTGCAGTAGGATGAACAAGGAGGAGTCCTGATGCAAGGTTGTTATGATGAACTTAAACTAAGGGTGCCTCTCTATTCCCTATATAGTGCACTACTTTTGACCACAGTGCTCTGTAGCAGGACACTACAACTAACCATGAACAATCACAACTATGATAAACTTGTCCTGATATGGCTGTTGTTGTTTACAGGGAGAGAAGATCTTCTTCCTGATCAAGCCCACGTCCGCAAACCTATCGCTGTATGAGCGCTGGAGGTCCTCAGCCAATCACACTGAGATGTTCTTCGCCGACCAGGTGGACAAGTGTTACAAGTGCACTCTGAAGCAGGGACAAACCCTATTCATACCGTCAGGTTAGTGCACTCTGAGGTAGTGATCATACCATCAGGTTAGTGATCTCTGAAGCAGGGACAAACCCTATTCATACCATCAGGTTAGTGCACTCTGAGGTAGTGATCATACCATCAGGTTAGTGCACTCTGAGGTAGTGATCATACCATCAGGTTAGTGCACTCTGAGGTAGTGATCATACCATCAGGTTAGTGCACTCTGAGGTAGTGATCATACCATCAGGTTAGTGCACTCTGAGGCAGTGATCATATCATCAGGTTAGAACCACACTAGCCCAGACAGGGCCCAAATCAAACATGTTATTGTAGTTTGATGTTGTTAGCAGAACAGTCTCATTGGGAATGGAAGTGTAACACTGAACGCTGTTGATGTCATTTGTTGATTGGTGTGTATGTATTGTGTTGGTGTGTATGTAATGTGTTGGGGTATTGAATGGTGTGTATGTAATGTGTTGGTGTATTGAATGGTGTGTATGTAATGTGTTGGTGTATTGAATGGTGTGTATGTAATGTGTTGGTGTATTGAATGGTGTGTATGTAATGTGTTGGGGTATTTAATGGTGTGTATGTAATGTGTTGGGGTATTGAATGGTGTGTATGTAATGTGTTGGGGTATTGAATGGTGTGTATGTAATGTGTTGGGGTATTTAATGGTGTGTATGTAATGTGTTGGGGTATTGAATGGTGTGTATGTAATGTGTTGGGGTATTGAATGGTGTGTATGTAATGTGTTGGGGTATTGAATGGTGTGTATTCCAGGCTCTGTCGTAGCCGGCCGCGACCGGGAGACCCATGGGGCGGCGCACAATTGGCCCAGCGTCGTCCAGGGTAGGGGAGGGAATGGCCGGCAGGGATGTAGCTCAGTTGGTAGAGCATGGCGTTTGCAACGCCAGGGTTGTGGGTTCGATTCCCACGGGGGGCCAGTATGAAAAAATTAAACAAATAATGTATGCACTCACTATCTGTAAGTCGCTCTGGATAAGAGCGTCTGCTAAATGACGTAAATGTAAATGTATTCTGTGCCGCGTTCCAGGTTGGATCAATGCAGTTCTGACTCCAGTGGACACTCTGGCCTTCTCTGGACACTTCGTCCACAACCTGAGTGTTGAGATGCAGATGAGGTGAGAACTTTAACTGACGTTATAAAACATCAGGAGGATACTTTTAATACAAGAAAAAAACCTTCAGGTGTGAGGTCACAACTTTTATCTTCCAGTTAAAGCACATTGTTTATCTGAAGTCATGATTCATCTCTATAGTGTGTTGTACCATATGTGTCGTCGTCTCTATAGTGTGTTGTACCATATGTGTCGTCATCTCTATAGTGTGTTGTACCATATGTGTCGTCATCTTCTCCCTCTTCCAGAGCGTACGAGGTGGAGAAGCGTTTGAAGGTGAACTGTCTGACTCCGTTCCCCAACTTTGAGACGGCCTGCTGGTACGTGGGACGTCACCTGTTGGAGAGATTCAAAGGTACACTAATTATTTTATACCTTTTCTCCCCTTCACGTCTGTTAGGTTTTTACTTACATTTTACATTTACATTTTAGTCATTTAGCAGACGCTCTTATCCAGAGCGACTTACATGAGCAATTAGGGTTAAGTGCCTTGCTCAAGGGCACATCGACAGATTTTTCACCTAGTCGGCTCGGGGATTAGAACCAGCAACCTTTCGGTTACTGGCACAACGCTCTTAACCACTAAGCTACCTGCCGCCCTACTTCACGTATGTTAGGTTTTTACGCCATGACTATTTAGGGTTCACCCCATAACTGCCTGTGTGTCGCTTGACGACTTTTATGGTTTTACTTCACAGCTATTTGGGTTTTAATCCACGACTATTTGGGTCTGTGACTACTGACTAGCGTTGTGATGCGTTTCCTGTTCTCCTGGTGGTGAATAGCGTGTGTTCTTCCTACGGTCTGCTCAGCAGATGAGGAGTTGGATGCTCTAATATTATTATTGTCATTAAACGTCTGCGTGGCGTCGTTCACAGATGATTAGGTTCAAAAGGCCTGGCACAGGCACAATCACTAGCTCAATTACTGCTCTCTCTGTGTTGTAACTCCTCTCAGCTGGCCACAGAGCTCTGTTTACATTTCCACTGGATGCCTTTTCTCTGTCTGCTGTAATATGGTCAGATTGCCTTCTTAAGATAACATTGCCAACTTACTGTACGGCAGCGTCCAAAATGCCACCCTATTCCCTACATAGTGCACTACTTTTGACCAGGTCCCACAGGGCTGGTAGTGCACTATGTAGGGAATAGGATGCCATTTGGGATGCAGGCTATTAAGACCACAGTGGTTTCTTACCCATTATTCTCTTATGGAGAATAGTTATGTCCAGGTCATATCTATCTCTACATCAGGGATCATTAGAACAGGAGTGTATTTAGTGAGATGAGCATTGCTCATAGAAATATAATGAATAGAGCTGATGTTATCCCCAGTTTTATAGGATAGATATCACATCTGTTCCAAACAATACATTCTATCTATTCTGCAACTCTCCTGAACAGGTTGATGCCCCACCTCCTCCTTGACTAACCCCACCCAGCAGGGTTCCATCTCGTATCAACTAGCTGCAGACTGACTGGGTATCTCTGGCTATCAGTGTAGAGACAGCCTTCACACAGACAGACAGCAGCTAGAGACAGCCTTCACACAGACAGACAGCAGCTAGAGACAGCCTTCACTCACACACCGAAGCTAGACAGCTTCACCAGACAGACAGCAGCTATGAGACAGCCTTCACCAACATAGCAACTAGAGACAGCTTCACTCAACACAGACAGCAGCTAGAGACAGCTTCACTCACACACAGACAGCAGCTAGAGAGCAGCCTTCACACAGGACAGACATGCAGATAAGACAGCTCACTCACACAGCAGCACAGCTTTAAGAAGACACCTTCCACAACAGACAGCAGCTAGAGACAGCCTTCACTCACACACAGACAGCAACTAGAGACAGCCTTCACTCCACAACAGCAGCAGCTAGGAAGCCTTCACTCACACACAGACAGCAGACTAGAGACGCCTTCCACAGACAGACAGCAGTAGGACAGCCTTCACACACACACAGACAGCAGCTAGAGACAGCCTTCACACAGACAGACAGCAGCTAGAGACAGCCTTCACTCACACACAGACAGCAACTAGAGACAGCCTTCACTCACACACAGACAGCAGCTAGAGACAGCCTTCACACAGACAGACAGCAGCTAGAGACAGCCTTCACTCACACACAGACAGCAGCTAGAGACAGCCATCACACAGACAGACATCAGCTAGAGACAGCCATCACACAGACAAACAGCAGCTAGAGACAGCCATCACTCACACAGACAGCAGCTAGAGACAGCCTTCACAGAGATAGCAGCTAGAGACAGCCTTCACAGAGATAGCAGCTAGAGACAGCCTTCACACAGATAGCAGCTAGAGACAGCCTTCACACAGACAGCAGCTAGAGACAGCCTTCACTCACACACAGACAGCAGCTAGAGACAGCCATCACACAGACAGACAGCAGCTAGAGACAGCCATCACACACACAGACAGCAGCTAGAGACAGCCTTCACAAAGACAGACAGCAGCTAGACAGCCTTCACACACAGACAGCAGCTAGAGACAGCCTTCACACAGACAGCAGCTAGAGCCAGCCATCACACAGACAGACAGCAGCTAGAGACAGCCATCACACACACAGACAGCAGCTAGAGACAGCCTTCACAAAGACAGACAGCAGCTAGAGACAGCCTTCACACAAAGACAGCAGCTAGAGACAGCCTTCACACAGACAGACAGCAGCTAGAGACAGCCTTCACACAGACAGACAGCAGCTAGAGACAGCCTTCACACAGACAGACAGCAGCTAGAGACAGCCTTCACACAGACAGACAGCAGCTAGAGATAGCCTTCACACAGACAGCAGCTAGAGACAGCCTTCACACAGACAGACAGCAGCTAGAGACAGCCTTCACACAGACAGACAGCAGCTAGAGACAGCCTTCACACAGACAGACAGCAGCTAGAGACAGCCTTCACACAGACAGACAGCAGCTAGAGACAGCCTTCACACAGACAGCAGCTAGAGACAGCCTTCACTCACAGACAGGCAGACAGCAGCTAGAGACAGCCTTCACTCACAGACAGTCAGACAGCAGCTAGAGACAGCCTTCACTCACAGACAGTCAGACAGCAGCTAGAGACAGCCTTCACACAGACAGCAGCTAGAGACAGCCTTCACTCACAGACAGACAGACAGCAGCTAGAAACAGCCTTCACACAGACAGACAGCAGCTAGAGACAGCCTTCACACAGACAGCAGCTAGAGACAGCCTTCACACAGACAGCAGCTAGAAACAGCCTTCACAGACAGACAGACAGCAGCTAGAGACAGCCTTCACACAGACAGACAGCAGCTAGAGACAGCCTTCACACAGACAGACAGCAGCTAGAGACAGCCTTCACACAGACAGACAGCTAGAGACAGGCAGCCAGCAAGGCAAGGAGGCAACAGGGTTGTATTCACAAACCGAACGGAAGCAAACGGGCTGAAACAGGATGGGACCTGCCCGAATCTGTCCAATAAGAAATACCTGTTTTCATTTTCCGTTTGCAAAATGTTTTGCTATGGTGTGTACTAATGAATATGACCCAGCTAGAAGCATGAATCTGATTTAAACGGCCTTCAGCTTGAAGTAACTTGTTCCAGGATGCGCTAATCAGATGTTATAGGGATTATTTTATGTTATTGAACCAGAATGGATCCAGTTTCAACAGCGTTGTGGAGGAAAGAAACAGAGTTATATTTTCCCTGCTGTGTATGAAATTTGCGGTGACAAGGCTCTCTGAAACGTGATAATGTAGATGTGTTGTGATTGGTTAAATACTGACAGCAGTTAGGCTAGAGGGAGCTATTCTCTGACAATGGAAATAGGTTTTTATGAAACATTTCATTTCTGTACGGCTCCTGACTTTAGCTCTATCAATGTTCTTACAGTGAATGAACAGAATCCGAGATGTTTTAGTCAATTACTTTAACCTTTATTTTATCACATTGTCCCATTGAGGTAAAAGACCTCTTTACCAAGGGAGAGCTGTCAGACCTCTTTACCAAGGGAGATCTGTCAGACCTCTTTACCAAGGGAGAGCTGTCAGACCTCTTTACCAAGGGAGAGCTGTCAGACCTCTTTACCAAGGGAGAGCTGTCAGACCTCTTTACCAAGGGAGAGCTGTCAGACTTGTCTGAGGTTGTCAACATCTGATCTAACAGTATGCTGTATTGTTGCAGGTCTACACAAGGCCAACAGACAGCCAGCTCCTTACCTGGTCCATGGAGCTAAGATCATCAACGGAGCTTTCAGGGCCTGGACTAAGAAACAGGCAAGTTTGGTTTCCTCCATCACATCTACATAACACATCTATTACACCTATATAACCTCAAATACCTGCTACACTACATGACCAACAGTATGTGGACACCTGCTCATCAAACATCTCATTCCAAAATCATGGGCATTAATATGGAGTTGGTCCCCCCTTTGCTGCTATAACAGCCTCCAATCTTCTGGGAAGGCTTCCCACTAGATGTTGGAACATTGCTGTGGGGACTTGCTTCCATTCAGCCACAAGAGCATTAGTGAGGTCGGGCCCTGATGTTGGGCGATTAGGCCTGGCTCGCAGTCGGCGTTCCAATTCATCCCAAAGGTGTTCAATGGGGTTGAGGTCAGGGCTTGGTGCAGGCCAGTCAAGTTCTTCCACATCGATCATGACAAACCATTTCTGTATGGATCTCGCTTTATGCACGGGGGCATGGTTATGCTGAAACAGGAAAGGGCCTTCCCCAAACTGTTGCCACAAAGTTGGAAGCACAGAGTCGTCTAGAATGTCATTGTATGCTATAAGATTTCCCTTCACTGGAACTAAGGGGCCTAGCCCGAACCATGAAAAACAGCCACAGACCCATTATTCCTCCTCCACCAAACTTTACAGTTGGCACTATGCATTCAGAAAGGTGGCATCCTATGACGGTGCCACATTTGAAAGTCAATGAGCTCTTCAGTAAGTCCATTCTACTACCAATGTTTGTCTATGGAGATTGCATGGCTGTGTTCTCGAATTTTATACACCTGTCAGCAACGGGTGTGGCTGAACTAGCTGAATCCACTCATTTGAAGGGGTTTTCCACATACTTTTGTATATATGGTGTATAACCTGAAAATAAATCCATACTAACTGTGTCGTCACCGTGTCCTCCCCTACAGGCCCTGTTAGAGCACGAGGATGAGCTCCCAGAGAACATGAAGCCCACTCAGCTCATCAAGGACCTGGCCAAGGAGATCCGGATCTCAGAGGTACGACCCTTACCCTGCCCTGTTCTGATCTGATCTGATCTCGACCCTTACCCTGCCCTGTTCTGATCTGATCTGATCTCGACCCTTACCCTGCCCTGTTCTGATCTGATCTGATCTCGACCCTTACCCTGCCCTGTTCTGATCTGATCTGATCTCGACCCTTACCCTGCCCTGTTCTGATCTGATCTGATCTCGACCCTTACCCTGCCCTGTTCTGATCTGATCTGATCTCGACCCTTACCCTGCCCTGTTCTGATCTGATCTGATCTCGACCCTTACCCTGCCCTGTTCTGATCTGATCTGATCTCGACCCTTACCCTGCCCTGTTCTGATCTGATCTGATCTTGACCCTTACCCTGCCCTGTTCTGATCTGATCTGATCTGATCTCGACCCTTACCCTGCCCTGTTCTGATCTGATCTGATCTCGACCCTTACCCTGCCCTGTTCTGATCTGATCTGATCTGATCTTGACCCTTACCCTGCCCTGTTCTGATCTGATCTGATCTCGACCCTTACCCTGCCCTGTTCTGATCTGATCTGATCTCGACCCTTACCCTGCCCTGTTCTGATCTGATCTGATCTCGACCCTTACCCTGCCCTGTTCTGATCTGTTCTGTTCTACTGGGCAGGTTGTTGTAGAGAGTAGGAATGTAACGATTCACCGATACGCATCTTCCCCTGTTCAAGTGTTTATGAGTGCATCGGTCCACGGGACACCAAACCAATCCGAATGTAGCATGTATCGGTCCACGGGACACCAAACCAATCCAAATGTAGCATGCATCGGGTCCACGGGACACCAAACCAATCCGAATGTAGCATGCATCGGTCCACGGGACACCAAACCAATCCGAATGTAGCATGCATCGGTCCACGGGACACCAAACCAATCCGAATGTAGCATGCATCGGTCCACGGGACACCAAACCAATCCGAATGTAGCATGCATCGGTCCACGGGACACCAAACCAATCCGAATGTAGCACGCATCGGTCAGAAAATCGATTCAAATGTCACGAATCGCCTGTTTTCTGTGGTTGTTGTTGTTTTGCTTAAATTACTTTCTTTCTACCTTCCCGAAAATATCTCTCATCTTCTGTGACAATTGATGCGTCCTCTTCTTCAGTGTTGAACATGTAGTTATGTTGACAGTCATTGATCGAACAACCCCAGGCAATATCAATATTTGATCAATATCAAACTGTGAGCAGCTTCTCACGCTGACCAACGAGAGGTAGGCCGATTCCTGATCTCGGCACTTCTGTGTGTCATCTTCAGTATTCAAACGTTTGTAAAAAATGGCTTGCACAATATTAGGCTATATTAGTTGAGTGACAGCCAATGTCATTTTGCTAGGTTATTTCTATCAAATGCGCTGAAAATTGTGATAATGGTGTTTTTACCGGAATACAAGTAGCGTAAGCTATCACTGGAGACACTCAACTGGCTACCCCTGCTGATCGGGACTTACTTTAGATGGAATTTGATTGTTCAGGTTCACCAACAGCAATAGTTTTAATAGTTTTGCTTTAAACAATCTGTGTATTTGGTCATTTTTAGATATACAGGGTAAAGTTGATTAATTTCATAGCGAGGACAGCAATCACTTTTTGCTACCTGCACTGCGTGGTCGACTTGAGAGAAGAAAAGATGCTCACTCTGAGCCAGTCAACATCCAAACGGTCCAAACCATTCCATTATGAGACGGGGGGTGAAATCCAAAGGTGTGCTATATATTAATTGGCAATGTCATAGCACATTTTTTAAGATAAATATTTATACACTACTAGCTCTAACACTTATAATCTGCAAAAATGACAAATTAATTAGAGGTTGATTTTAGATCAAAAGTCGGGGGGGTCATTCCCCCCCCTAACTGATAGTGGTCTGGTAGATTCCCTGTTTCCCCCCTAACATCCCCCTAACTGATAGTGAGGTGGTAGATTCCCTGTTTCCCCCCTAACATCCCCCTAACTGATAGTGGTCTGGTAGATTCCCTGTTTCCCCCCTAACATCCCCCTAACTGATAGTGGTCTGGTAGATTCCCTGTTTCCCCCCTAACATCCCCCTAACTGATAGTGGTCTGGTAGATTCCCTGTTTCCCCCCTAACATCCCCCTAACTGATAGTGGTCTGGTAGATTCCCTGTTTCCCCCCTAACATCCCCCTAACTGATAGTGGTCTGGTAGATTCCCTGTTTCCCCCCTAACATCCCCCTAACTGATAGTGGTCTGGTAGATTCCCTGTTTCCCCCCTAACATCCCCCTAACTGATAGTGGTCTGGTAGATTCCCTGTTTCCCCCCTAACATCCCCCTAACTGATAGTGGTCTGGTAGATTCCCAGTTTCCCTTATGGCTCAGCTCAGGTGATTACATACACAATAGACATACATAATATAGACGCACACTCAGATCCATCTCAGAGAGGCCCAGTTCAGACAGATCCATCTCAGACAGATCCATCTCAGACAGATCCATTTCAGACAGATCCATCTCAGACAGATCCATTTCAGACAGATCCGTCTCAGACAGATCCATCTCAGACAGATCCGTCTCAGACAGATCCATCTCAGACAGGCCCAGCTCATGAACTCCATCAGCAGCAGATTTTATTTTAGAATGATGATTGTGTTTATGCAACATATGTTAGTGTCTCAAATTGTATCGCATTTGTATATATTAAGGATCCCCATTAGTTCCTGCCAAGGCAGCAGCTACTCTTCCTGGGGTTTATTATGGATCCCCATTAGTTCCTGCCAAGGCAGCAGCTACTCTTCCTGGGGTTTATTAAGGAACCCCATTAGTTCCTGCCAAGGCAGCAGCTACTCTTCCTGGGGTTTATTATGGATCCCCATTAGTTCCTGCCAAGGCAGCAGCTACTCTTCCTGGGGTTTATTATGGATCCCCATTAGTTCCTGCCAAGGCAGCAGCTACTCTTCCTGGGGTTTATTATGGATCCCCATTAGTTCCTGCCAAGGCAGCAGCTACTCTTCCTGGGGTTTATTAAGGATCCTCATTAGTTCCTGCCAAGGCAGCAGCTACTCTTCCTGGGGTTTATTAAGGATCCTCATCAGTTCCTGCCAAGGCAGCAGCTACTCTTCCTGGGGTTTATTATGGATCCCCATTAGTTCCTGCCAAGGCAGCAGCTACTCTTCCTGGGTTTATTAGGATCCCCATTAGTTCCTGCCAAGGCAGCAGCTACTCTTCCTGGGGTTTATTATGGATCCCCATTAGTTCCTGCCAAGGCAGCAGCTACTCTTCCTGGGGTTTATTATGGATCCCCATTAGTTCCTGCCAAGGAGCAGCTACTCTTCCTGGTGTCCAGCAACACTGAAACATGCATGAGAGCATCAGCTGTTCCGGATGACTGTGTGATCACGCTCTCCATAGCCGATTTGAGTAAGACCTTTAAACAGGTCAACATTCACAAGGCCGCAGGGCCAGACGGATTACCAGGACGTGTACTCCGAGCATTCGCTGACCAACTGGCAAGTGTCTTCACTGACATTTTCAACCTCTCCCTGACTGAGTCTGTAATACCAACATGTTTCAAGCAGACCACCATAGTCCCTGTGCCCAAGGACTCTAAGATAACCTTCCTAAATGACTACCGACCCGTAGCACTGACGTCTGTAGCCATGAAGTGCTTTGAAAGGCTGGTCATGGCTCACATCAACACCATTATCCCAGAAACCCTAGACCCACTACAATTTGCATATCGCCCCAACAGATCCACAGATGATGCAATCTCTATTGCACTCCACACTGCCCTTTCCCACCTGGACAAAAGGAACACCTATTTGAGAATGCTGTTCATTGACTACAGCTCAGCATTCAACACCATAGTGCCCTCAAAGCTCATCACTAAGCTAAGGATCCTGGGACTAAACACCTCCCTCTGCAACTGGATCCTGGACTTCCTGACGGGCCGCCCCCAGGTGTTAAGGGTAGGCAACAACACATCTGCCACGCTGATCCTCAACACGGGGGCCCCTCAGGGGTGCGTGATCAGTCCCCTCCTGTACTCCCTGTTCACCCATGACTGCGTGGCCAGGCACGACTCCAACACCATCATTAAGTTTGCCGACGACGCAACAGTGGTAGGCCTGATCACCGACAACAACGAGACAGCCTATAGGGAGGAGGTCAGAGACCTGGCCGTGTGGTGCCATGACAACAACCTCTCCCTCAGCGTGACCAAGACAAAGGAGATGATTGTGGACTACAGGAAAAAGAAGAGGACCGAGCACGCCCCCATTTTCATCGAAGGGGCTGTAGTGGAACAGGTTGAGAGCTTCAAGTTCCTTGGTGTCCACATCACCAACAAACTATCATGGTCCAAACACACCAAGACAGTCGTGAAGAGGGCACAACAACACCTTTCCCCCTCAGGAGACTGAAAAGATTTGGCATGGGTCCTCAGATCCTCAAAAGGTTCTACAGCTGCACCATCGAGAGCATCCTGACTAGTTGCATCACTGCCTGGTATGGCAACTGCTCGGTCTCCTACCGCAAGGCACTACAGAGGGTAGTGCGTACGGCCCAGTACATCACTGGGGCCAAGCTTCCTGCCATCCAGGACCTCTATACCAGGCGGTGTCAGAGGAAGGCCCTAAAAATGGTCAAAGACTCCAGCCACCCTAGTCATAGACTGTTGTCTCTTCTACCGCACGGCAAGCGGTACCGGAGCGCCAAGTCTAGGTCCAAGAGGCTTCTAAACAGCTTCTACCCCCAAGCCATAAGACTCCTGAACATCTAATCAAATGGCTACCGAGATTATTTGCATTGCCCCCCCCACCCCTCTTTTACGCTGCTGCTACTCTGTTTATTATCTATGCATAGTCACTTTAACTCTACCCACATGTACATATTACCCCAATTACCTCGACTAACCGGTGCCCCCGCACATTGACTCTGTACCGGTACCCCCTGTATATAGCCTCCCTACTGTTATTTTATTTTACTGCTGCTCTTTAATTATTTGTTACTTTAACTTTTAATTTTTTTATATTGTATTTTTTAGTGATTTTTCTTTTGGTATTCTTTCTTAAAACTGCATTGTTGGTTAAGGGCTTGTAAGTAAGCATTTCACTGTTGTATTCGGCGCATGTGACAAATAACATTTGATTTGATTTGAAGATTTAGTTGAGGTTTAGTGAATGATTTGTCCCAAATACAATTATTTTAGTTTTTGAAATATTTAGGACTAACTTATTTCTTGCCACCCAATCTGAAACTGACTGTAGCTCTTTGTTAAGTGTTGCAGTGATTTCACTTGCTGTGGTAGCTGACGTGTCTAGTGTTGAGTCATCCGCATACATAGACACTCTGGCTTTACTCAAAGCCGGTGGCATGTCGTTAGTAAAGATTGAAAAAAGTAATGGGCCTAGACAGCTGCCCTGGGGAATTCCTGATTCTACCTGGATTATGTTGGAGAGGCTTCCATTAAAGAACACCCTCTGTGTTCTGTTAGACAGGTAACTCTTTATCCACATCATAGCAGGGGGTGTAAAGCCATAACACATACGTTTTTCCAGCAGCAGACTATGATCGATAATGTCAAAAGCCGCACTGAAGTCTTAACAAAACAGCCCCCACAATCTTTTTATCATCAAGTTCTCTCAGCCAATCATCAGTAATTTGTGTAAGTGCTGTGCTTGTTGAATGTCCTTCCCTTATAAGCGTGCTGAAAGTCTGTTGTCAATTTGTTTACTGTAAAATAGCATTGTATCTGGTCAAACACAATTTTTTCTAAAAGTTAACTAAGGGTTGGTAACAGGCTGATTGGTCGGCTATTTGAGCCAGTAAAGGGGGCTTTACTACTCTTAGGTAGCGGAAAGACTTTTGCTTCCCTCCAGGCCTGAGGGCACACACTTTCTAGTAGGCTTAAATTGAAGATATGGCAAATAGGAGTGGCAATATCGTCCGCTATTATCCTCAGTAATTTTCCATCCAAGTTGTCACACCCAGGTGGCTTGTCATTGTTGACAGACAACAATAATTGTTTAACTCTTCCACACTCACTTTACGGAATTCAAAATTACAATGTTTGTCTTTCATAATTTGGTCAGATATACTTGGATGTGTAGTGTCAGCGTTTGTTGCTGGCATGTCATGCTTAAGTTTGCTAATCTTGCCAATGAAAAAATCTATTAAAGTAGTTGGCAATATCAGTTGGTTTTGTGATGAATGAGCCATCTGATACAATGAATGATGGAGCTCAGTTTGCCTTTTTGCCCAAAATTTCATTTAAGCTGCTCCAAAGCTTTTTACTATAATTCTTTATGTCATTTATCTTTGTTTCATAGTGTAGTTTCTTCTTCTTTTTATTCAGTTTAGTCACATGATTTCTCAATTTGCAATACGTTTGCCAGTCGGTTGTGCAGCCAGACTTATTTGCCATTATTTTTGCCTCATCCCTCTCAACCATACACATTTTCAATTCCTCATCAATCCACAGGGATTTAACCGTTTTTACAGTCATTTTCTTAATGGGTGCATGCTTATTAGTAACTGGAATAAGCAATTTCATAAATGTGTGAAGTGCAGCGTCTGGTTGCTCCTCATTACACACCACGGACCAACAAATATTCTTCACATCAACAACAGAGGGATCACTACGAAACGTATTGTATGACCTCTTATACACTATATTAGGCCCAGCCTTTGGAACTTCGGTTTTCCTAGATGTGTCTTCTGTATTGTGATCACTACATCCGATGGATTTGGATACTGCTTTCAAACCTATTTCTGCAGCATCAGTAAAGATGTGATCAATACATGTTGATGATTTCATTCCTGTGCTGTTTGTAACTACCCTGGTAGGTTGACTGATAACCTGAACCAGGTTGCAGCCACTGGTTACCGGCGCAGCTCTAGCAGGGCAGAAATCTGACAAACTGACTCGTTGGAAAGGTGGCATCCTATGACGGTGGCACGTTGAAAGTCAATGGGCTCTTCAGTAAGGCCATTCTACTGCCAATGTGTGTCTATGGAGAGTGGATGGCAAAATTTATACACCTGTCAGCAGTGGGTGTGGCTGAAATAGCCGAATCCACCCATTTGAAGGGGTGTCCACATACTTTTGGCCATATAATGTACCTCTCTGTTGATATGAAGTACATTATGAAGCATTTCACACATATTAACCAGATACTGACTGTTAGCAATTGGTGGTCTATAGCATTGAACCGAATCACATCAATTCGTTCCTCTAGTCAAACCGAAATCGCACCAAATCGTTTCAAACTAAAATCGTTCCAGTATGGTATCAGTCCATGTCTCTAGATACGTATGGCTCCTGTATGGTATCAGTCCATGTCTCTAGATAGTACGGTCCTGATGGTATCAGTCCATGTCTCTAATACGTATGCTCCTGGATGGTATCAGTCCATGTCTCTAGATACGTAGGCTCCTGGATGGTATCAGTCCCATGTCTCTAGATACGTATGGCTCCTGGGATGGTATCATGTCCATGTCTCTAGATACGTATGGCTCCTGGATGGTATCAGTCCATGTCTCTAGATACGTATGGCTCCTGGATGGTATCAGTCCATGTCTCTAGATACGTATGGCTCCTGGATGGTATCAGTCCATGTCTCTAGATACGTATGGCTCCTGGATGGTATCATTCCATGCTCTAGATACGTATGGCTCCTGGAGGTATCAGTCCATGTCTCTAGATACGTATGGCTCCTGGATGGTATCAGTCCATGTCTCTAGATACGATGGCTCCTGGATGGTATCTTCCATGTCTCTAGATACGTATGGCTCTGATTGGTATCAGTCCATGTCTCTATATACGTATGGCTCCTGGATGGTATCAGTCCATGTCTCTAGATACGTATGGCTCCCGGATGGTAATCAGTCCATGTCTCTAGATACGTATGGCTCTGATGGTATCAGTCCATGTCTCTAGATACGTATGGCTCCTGGATGGTGGATCAGTCCATGCTCTGATACGTATGGCTCCGGATGATAGTCCATCTAGATACGTATGGCTCCTGGATGGTATCAGTCCATGTCTTAGATACGTATGGCTCCTGGATGGTATAGTCCATGTCTCTAGTACGTATGGCTCCTGGTGGTATCAGTCCATGTCTCTAGATACTAGGCTCCTGGATGGTATCAGTCCATGTCTCTAGATACGTATGGCTCCTGGATGGTATCAGTCCATGTCTCTATATACTCGTGGCTCGTGTATCATCCATGTCCATATACGTATGGCTCCTGGATGGTATCCATGTCCCAGGTCCTGAATAGCGGCCGCACCGGTGAGACCATGGCCGATGTCGCTAATGACGTATGCGTCCGGATGTAGGCATGGTCTTAGAACTGGCTCTGGAGGGTATCAGTTGTCTAGAACGTATGGGTTGCAACCAGGGTTGGTCATTCCCACAGTATGGCCGGATGGTATCAAAAAAATGATGCCTCACGATACGTATGGCTCCTGGTGTAGCGTCCATGCTAAAATTAACAATGTACCTAAATGGTATCAGTATCTGAACGTAGGGTTTCCTGGATGGATCAGTCCATGTCTCTAGATACGTATGGCTCCTGTATGGTATCAGTCCATTCTCTAGATACGTATGGTATGGTCAGTCCATCTCTAGATACGTATGCTCGGATGGTTCCATGTCTCTAGATACGTATGGTATCCTGATGTTCAGTCCATCCTAGATACGTGGTCCTGTATGGTATCAGTCCATGTCTCTAGATACGTATGGCTGGATGGTATAGTCAGTCCTGTCGTTGGTCGTGTATGGTTCCATGGTGTATCAGTTCCTGTAGGTACGTATGGTTCTGTATGGTACGTCCTGTCTCCTGATGTATGGTCCTGGATTATATCCATGTCTCATACGTATGGCTCCTGGATGGTATCTCCGATGTCAGAGTACGTATGGCTCTAGGATCAGTATGGTCTGTATACGTATGGCTCCATGGAGAGTACAGTCCAGTTTCTAGATACGTCGGCTTCCTGGATGGATCAGTCCAGTCTTACTAGTACGTATGGCTCCGTAGGTATAGTCCATGTCTCTAGATACGTATGGTCCGTATGGACAGTCCATGGTCTCTAGAGACGTATGGTTCCTGATATGGTATCAGGTCCATGTCTTAGATACGTATGCGTTCCCGTATGGTATCAGTCCATGTCTCTAGATACGTAGGGCTCCTGTATTGGTTCAGTCCATGTCTCTAGATACGTATGGCTCCTGGATGGTATCAGTCAGTCTCTAGATACGTATGGCTCCTGGATGGTATCAGTCCATGTATTCTAGATACGTATGCCTCCTGGATGGTATCAGTCCATGTCTCTAGATACGTATCAAATCGTCTTGAAAGGGAAAGATGCACATCCTTATTTTACTATCCCTAGTAAAGACACATCATTCTAGTAATGACCTTAGTTGTTGTGGAGACATCATTCTAGTAATGACCTTAGTTGTTGTGGAGACATCATTCTAGTAATGACCTTTGTCCACCTGTGCTCTACACAATACGCACATTGAACGAAGGAGCTCAGTTTGCATCGCTCTCTGCGTAATTCAATATACATTTATGCGGCAGAACAACGCTTTGTTTGCATAGAGTTTGTAGAGACGTTTATAGTATCAATTAATTACCAATTTCTGAACTGCATTATGGGTTTTGTAGTGAACTGGTTTACTAACTGTACTATGAACACACGGCTCAGACTGTTGTCATTGTTCAGAGTGAAATATAAGGAGAGAAAATTGTTAAGTGAGTGTCTTTGGATAAAGACATCTTGCTAACTGAACGCATTGTTTTTTTGTCCAGAATGCGGCTAAAGCCATTAAGAGTGATTCGAGTAGCAAGGCTCCAGTGGAAGAGGCCCCTCCTGCCCCATTAGAGCCTGAGGACCCTGCTTCCCCCTCCAGCGTCCCCTCTCCCTCCCCTCCTCCCCGGGAGAAACCAGCCAGGAAGAAGGCCTCCAAGGTCCCCAAACCTCCCAAGGTCCCCAAACCCCCCAAGGTCCCCAAACCTCCCAAGGTCCCCAAACCTCCCAAGAAAGGAAAGAAAGAGAAGGAAGTCCCTCCTCCTCCTCCTCCTCCTCCTCCTCTTCAACCGTCAAAGCCCTCCAGCCTGGCAGCTCTGGAGTCTCACGCCAAGGACATCCTCAGCAAGATGGACCAGCCCAAGAAGGGCAAGATGGGGGGCAAGGTGAGCTATTAACCTGTTTAACCATGTTTAACCTGACTGGGCCTGGAACAAACCCACCCCTATAGGCCTAGATGGACCAGCCCAAGAAGGGTAAGATGAGACCAAGCAAGCGGACCTTACTGGACCTGTCCTGCTCTACCTGTCACCTGTGTGATGTCATATCTGTGTTACCTGCTTCCCAGGCGGCTAAGAACGTCCTGAGCATGTCGGAGAAGGAGACCTGTAAGCAGAACGACGTGGAGAAGTTTGAGATCCGAGAACAGAACAAGAAACAGACGGAAGCCAAGTGGAAATATAAGGTAAGATACAGAATAGTTTGAGTCTGAACTGTTTTAAGTGGAAATATAAGGTACGGTTCAAAACAGTTTCAGTTAGGTAAGATACAGAGCAGAAATACAAGGTAAGATACAGAATATATTCGGAACAGTTTCAGTTAGAAATATAAGGTAAAAGAACAGTTTCAGTTGATGCTGTTTTAGGAGGAATTAGAAAAGATACAGAACAGATTGAGTTAAGTTAGGTAAGATACAGAACAGATTGAGTCAAGGCTGTCTTGACATGCTTTAAAAAGACATGGACCAAAGTAAACATGATAATGATGGATAAACAATAAACCCAATTCAAGCTGGATGCTGTTTGGAAGAAGATGCAAGTGGTTCTGTTCTATTAAAGCTTGAGAAGCTGAGAAGTCCAACAGAAAAATGTTGGATCATGGTAAAGTGATTAACACACTATAGATCATAGTAATCAGCTAAACTAACACTGCGGCTTTACTCACAATTAGAGTACTGGAACTGTTCAAAGCTTGTAGAATACGGACCCAGCCAACCGGCTCAGTCCTCACAACTATGTCATATCCACAACATTCCACCCATAAGCATTCACATCTGCCGGGAGTCCTGCTGGTGGGCGTCCCAAATGACGCCCTATTCTCTATAAGGTGTAGAGGACTACGGTCAAAGTAGTGCACTACAGTATATAGGGAATAGGGTGCCGTTTGGGATGTAGGCCTGCTTTAAGGAGGCTGTTGTGTCATTATAGCTGGATAACATGGGATGGGTTCTGGAGGAAAGCTTAGTTGGGGTGAACGGAAGACATTAGTCAGCTTTAGTTTCATGGAAGCTTGTATGCCAAAGTGTTTCTGGTTGGAATGTCTGTAGTCATTCCAAGGGCTCAAACACTACCACATGGACTGGTAGATGGAGATACAGCAAGGTCATCGACACCAAGATCAGACCACATCTTCACCTGGCGGAGATACAGCAAGGTCATCGACACCAAGATCAGACCACATCTTCACCTGGCGGAGATACAGCAAGGTCATAGACATCAAGATCAGACCACATCTTCTCCGGGCAGATATACAGCAAGGTCATAGACATCAAGATCAGACCACATCTTCTCCGGGCAGATATACAGCAAGGTCATAGACATCAAGATCAGACCACATCTTCTCCGGGCAGATATACAGCAAGGTCATAGACATCAAGATCAGACCACATCTTCACCGGGCAGATATACAGCAAGGTCATAGACACCAAGATCAGACCACATCTTCACCTGGCGGAGATACAGCAAGGTCATAGACACCAAGATCAGACCACATCTTCACCTGGCGGATATACAGCAAGTATGAAGAATTGGCGTTTTTGACTCAAAAGTTTTGTACTTACAAAAACTCTTTGGGTGCCGGGTTCAAAAGGCATCTACTTAAAGAAGGAAAATATATACAGGAAGGTTATCATAGACCACCTCTTCAGTTTCTCTGATGGACTGGAGACCCTGGTAGATAGATATTCACCAGAGTGGAGTAGACCACACCTGTCTACATTAGGGTTGACCCCCAAGATTAAAATCATTTGATTTTGATTTGCTTTACTCCGATTTAAAAAATATATATATTTTAGCAGTGCGCAATACTTCTATCAACATCTTAGAAATGTTGTAATACTTTAAGTGTGTATGGCCCCATTACGTCGTTATAAACATGTTGTCTGTCCTTCTGCCAGATCCTCTAAACAGGACATTCAATTATCTTTGTTGTTCTTGTCCATTGCAGAACAGCAAACCAGATTCCTTACTGAAGATGGAAACTGAAGAGCACAAGTTTGAGAGAACACCGCTGTCAGGCAACAAAGACAAGTTTGCATTCTCATTGACACACAAGAAGTTACTAGGGTATGTATACTGGGGTATGTAGGGTATGTATACTGGGGTATGTAGGGTATGTATACTACTGCGTACATGTACTGTGTGCGTGTAACTGGACTAGTCCTACTTTCCTGTGGGTTTGGACCGCCAAACCCCAACCATCAAACAAGCGGCAGAGCGAGGAAGAGAGGGAAGCGAGAGAGAGAGAGTAGAGAGAGAAGCAGGCAGGGAAGGTGAGAGAGGAGGCGAATCGCGAGAAGAGATAGAGAGAGCAGAGAAGAGAGGTAGCAGAGAGAGGGGGTAGAGATGCGTAGGGACGCAGGAAGAAGAAGGAGAGGAAGAAGAGAGTCTATATAGTCTTGTCGCTGATATCTTCTGATCAAGTATTAGCTGAAGGTAATCTGCGAAACAGCGAGTAGGATAGAGGCTGGATCTGATAGCAGAGTATAGAGGGTATCGGAGAGGAGACGGAAGAGATGAGTGGATAGCAGCGGATAGGAGTCAGAGTCTACGTCTCTGCATAGCTGCTATCTCAGCTCTCTGCGTCGCTCTATCTAATCTTGTACGATAATATCTAGCTAGTAGCCACCCTCGCTCTCTCCAACTCTATCTAGATCTCCCCTATCTCTGCTCTCTCTCTCTCCCTCTCGCTCTATCTCACCCTCTCTCTCTCTCTCTCTCTCTCTCTCCCAGTTCTAAGCTGAAGCCCCAGACCAACTCCAGTGTGTTTGGTTCGTTACAAAACCTAAAGGAGGACAAGGCCAAGCCGGTGAGAGACGAATATGACTACGTGTCAGACGAAGGAGAGCTGAAGATTGATGAGTTCCCCATCAGGAGGAAAAAGAACGCTGTCAAGAGGGACTTATCCTGTGAGTACTGAGACATAAAGTCCTGTGTAGCTCAGTTGGTAGAGCATGGCGCTTGCAACGCCAGAGTTGTGGGTTCGATTCCCACGGGGGACCAGTGTGAAAATGTATGCACTCACTAACTGTAAGTCACTCTGGATAAGAGCGTCTGCTAAATGACTAAAATGTAAAAATAAATATTAAAAAATACTATTGGAGAGAAAATGGTCCTGTGAGTACTGAGACAGTACTGAGACAGGGAAACTCAGATGGGAAATCGTGTACTGAATACAATTATGTATATTTGTATTTACTTAATAATTAAATCTATCAAAATGGACTGATTTACTAGTTGTTGATTGACTGTCACTTCTCTTCCTGTTCCAGTCCTGTCAAACATCAAAGACCCAATCCACCCATCCAAGAAGCCAAAGCTCCTCCCCTCTGCTGTCAAGGTACGTCAGCTCCTCCCCTCTGTTCACAGGGTATGTCAGCCCCACCCCTCTGTTCACAGGGTATGTCAGCCCCTCCCCTCTGTTCCCAGGGTATGTCAGCCCCACCCCTCTGTTCACAGGGTATGTCAGCCCCTCCCCTCTGTTCCCAGGGTATGTCAGCCCCACCCCTCTGTTCCCAGGGTATGTCAGCTCCTCCCCTCTGTTCCCAGGGTATGTCAGCTCCTCCCCTCTGTTCCCAGGGTATGTCAGCTCCTCCCCTCTGTTCCCAAGGTATGTCAGCCCCTCCCCTCTGTTCACAGGGTATGTCAGCCCCTCCCCTCTGTTCACAGGGTATGTCAGCCCCTCCCCTCTGTTCCCAGGGTATGTCAAGCTCCCCTCCCCTCTGTCCCAGGGTATGTCAGCCCCTCCCCTCTGTTCCCAGGGTATGTCAGCCCCTCCCCTCTGCTGTCAAGGTACGTCAGCTCCTCCCCTCTGTTCCCAGGGTATGTCAGCTCCTCCCCTCTGTTCCCAGGGTATGTCAGCTCCTCCCCTCTGTTCCCAGGTATGTCAGCTCCTCCCCTCTGTTCCCAGGGTATGTCAGCCCCTCCCCTCTGTTCCCAGGGTATGTCAGCCCCTCCCTCTGTTCCCAGGGTATGTCAGCCCCTCCCCTCTGTTCCCAGGGTATGTCAGCCCCTCCCCTCTGTTCCCAGGGTATGTCAGCCCCTCCCCTCTGTTCCCAGGGTACGTCAGCTCCTCCCCTCTGTTCCCAGGGTATGTCAGCCCCTCCCCTCTGTTCCCAGGGTATGTCAGCTCCTCCCCTCTGTTCCCAAGGTATGTCAGCCACTCCCCTTAACTCACCAATAATATATGAAGGACCATGTGGCTAGAAAATATCGGAGCACAGTACAGTTGGGGTCAGGTCAGCACAATAGTGTGAAGTGGGTATCACAGTAATGTCCATAGAGAGTCTAGATCCCATTTCTAGGGAAAGTCCCAAATGGCACCCTAGTCAAAAGTAGTGCACTATATAAGGAATAGGATTCCATTTGGGAAGCGTGCTAATGGTTCTAACTCAGCTGTCCTGTTTGCCAGCTAACATCCAGAACTAAAGACTTTAATTACACTCTGATATTTACATTTCTACGTCCATGAAGAGAACAGCCTAATGAGGAGTTCTAAGACCAGAACAGTCGGAGGGAAACATTCTGAAATATTTGCTCCTTCCTTCCATGAGGTCGTTAATGAATTCCATGTGATGGTTGAAAAACCAGTCAAATAGCAATAGAGATCACATATGGTTGTGTGTTTAGTGTTGTCATGATACCACTATCTTGATACTAGGAAGTAAGGAAGCAAAGCAAACAGAACATGAAGTGGACTCCATGTCTTTAGGAAAACAGCCCTAATGTTGGAAACAAACATCATGTTGTCATCCAGAGTCGCATGTATTTATTTTCCAAGCTATAGCACGCAATATTTTACATACAGCAGGTTTTTAAAGGAACGAACAGTTTGGCCTGCTTCGTGTTGTCTTTTTTTTTGCTAAGGAAAATCTGTTATCGTCGTGTCGCGATACTGTCTTTGTTTGTGTGTGTGTGTGTGTGTGTGTGTGTGTGTGTGTGTGTGTGCATGCAAGCGTTTGTGTGTGTTGCTTTTCTCTCATAATGTTGAGACTTAAAACAACATCCAGTGAGAATCAAAGGCAGGGCTCTGCAGCACCGGGCCAAACAACACCACGCACTGGGCCAGAACATAGCTGTTGTACCAGAGAAAGAGAGAGAGGCAGAGAGAGAGGCAGAGAGAGAGGCAGAGAGAGAGAAAGAGAGAGCGAGGCAGGCTGAGAGAGAGGCAGGCTGAGAGAGGCAGAGAGAGAGAGAGAGGCAGGCTGAGAGAGAGGCAGAGAGAGAGAGAGGCAGGCTGAGAGAGAGGCAGGCTGAGAGAGAGGCAGGCTGAGAGAGAGAGAGAGGCAGGCTGAGAGAGAGAGAGAGGCAGGCTGAGAGAGAGAGAGGCAGGCTGAGAGAGAGACAGGCTGAGAGAGAGGCAGGCTGAGAGAGAGGCAGGCTGAGAGAGGCAGAGAGAGAGAGAGAGGCAGGCTGAGAGAGAGGCAGGCTGAGAGAGGCAGGCTGAGAGAGAGAGAGGCAGGCTGAGAGAGAGGCAGGCTGAGAGAGGCAGGCTGAGAGAGAGAGAGAGGCAGGCTGAGAGAGAGAGAGGCAGGCTGAGAGAGAGAGAGAGAGAGAGAGAGAGAGGGGAGGGAGAGAGGGGAGAGAGAGAGAGAGAGAGAGACCTCGGTCCCATTCACCCCAGCTATGTCCTATGGTCCCATTCACCCCAGCTATGTCCTATGGTCCCATTCACCCCAGCTATGTCCTATGGTCCCATTCACCCCAGCTATGTCCTATGGTCCCATTCACCCCAGCTATGTCCTATGGTCCCATTCACCCCAGCTATGTCCTATGGTCCCATTCACCCCAGCTATGTCCTATGGTCCCATTCACCCCAGCTATGTCCTACTGTCCCATTCACCCCAGCTATGTCCTACTGTCCCATTCACCCCAGCTATGTCCTATGGTCCCATTCACCCCAGCTATGTCCTATGGTCCCATTCACCCCAGCTATGTCCTATGGTCCCATTCACCCCAGCTACAGTGAGGGGAGAAAAGTATTTGATCCCCTGCTGATTTTGTATGTTTGCCCACTGACAAAGAAATGATCAGTCTATAATTGTAATGGTAGGTTTATTTGAACAGTGAGAGACAGAATAACAAAACAAAAATCCAGAAAAACGCATGTCAAAAATGTTATAAATTGATTTGCATTTTAATGAGGGAAATAAGTATTTGACCCCCTCTCAATCAGAAAGATTTCTGGCTCCCTGGTGTCTTTTATACAGGTAACAAGCTGTGATTAGGAGCACACTCTTAAAGGGAGCGCTCCTAATCTCAGTTTGTTACCTGTATAAAAGACACCTGTCCACAGAAGCAATCAATCAATCAGATTCCAAACTCTCCACCATAGCCAAGACCAAAGAGCTCTCCAAGGATGTCAGGGACAAGATTGTAGACCTACACAAGGCTGGAATGGGCTACAAGACCATCGCCAAGCAGCTTGGTGAGAAGGTGACAACAGTTGGTGCGAATATTCGCAAATGGAAAAAACACAAAAGAACTGTCAATCTCCCTCGGCCTGGGGCTCCATGCAAGATCTCACCTCGTGGAGTTGCAATGATCATGAGAACGGTGAGGAATCAGCCCAGAACTACACTGGAGGATCTTGTCAATTATCTCAAGGCAGCTGGGACCATAGTCACCAAGAAAACAATTGGTAACACACTACGCCGTGAAGGACTGAAATCCTGCAGCGCCCGCAAGGTCCCCCTGCTCAAGAATTCACATATACAGGGCCGTCTGAAGTTTGCCAATGAACATCTGAATGATTCAGAGGAGAACTGGGTGAAAGTGTTATGGTCAGATAACACCAAAATCGAGCTCTTTGGCATCAACTCAACTCGCCGTGTTTGGAGGAGGAGGAATGCTGCCTATGACCCCAAGTACACCATCCCCACCGTCAAACATGGAGGTGGAAACATTATGCTTTGGGGGTGTTTTTCTGCTAAGGGGACAGGACAACTTCACCGCATCAAATGGACGATGGACGGGGCCATGTACCGTCAAATCTTGGGTGAGAACCTCCTTCCCTCAGCCAGGGCATTGAAAATGGGTCGTGGATGGGTATTCCAGCATGACAATGACCCAAAACACACGGCCAAGGCAACAAAGGAGTGGCTCAAGAAGAAGCACATTAAGGTCCTGTAGTGGCCTAGCCAGTCTCCAGACCTTAATCCCATAGAAAATCTGTGGAGGAAGCTGAAGGTTCGAGTTGCCAAACGTCAGCCTCGAAACCTTAATGACTTGGAGTGGGACAGAATCCCTCCTGAGATGTGTGCTAACCTGGTGGCCAACTACAAGAAACGTCTGACCTCTGTGATTGCCAACAAGGGTTTTGCCACCAAGTACTAAGTCATGTTTTGCAGAGGGGTCAAATACTTATTTCCCTCATTAAAATGCAAATCAATTTATAACATTTTTGGCATGCGTTTTTCTGGATTGCGGATTTTTTTGTTGTTATTCTGTCTCTCACTGTTCAAATAAACCTACCATTAAAATTATAGACTGATCATGTCTTTGTCAGTGGGCAAATATACAAAATCAGCAGGGGATCAAATACTTTTTCCCTCACTGTATGTCCTATGGTCCCATTCACCCCAGCTATGTCCTATGGTCCCATTCACCCCAGCTATGTCCTATGGTCCCATTCACCCCAGCTATGTCCTATGGTCCATTCACCCAGCTACAGTGACTTACCCCACAATACACTGTATGTAGGATGACTTACCCACCAATACACTGCTGTAGGACTGACTTACCCCACCAATACACTGCTGTAGGACTGACTTACCCCACCAATACACTGTGCTGTAGGACTGACTTACCCCACCAATACACTGCTGTAGGACTGACTTACCCCACCAATACACTGCTGTAGGACTGACTTACCCCAAACCCAAAACACTGTGCTGTAGGACTGACTTACCCCACCAATACACTGCTGTAGGACTGGACTTACCCACCAATACACTGCTGTAGGACTGACTACCCCCATACACTGTGCGAGGATGACTTACCCTGCCCAATACAGCGTAGGACGATTACCCCCCCCAATACAGCTGTAGGACGATTACCCCCCCAATAACTGTACTGTAGGGTGACTTCCCACCAAAAC